AATGACTTATTCATTGCAAATATTTTTTTCAGCAACATAAATGGTGGCTATACACATGGAGATCACCAGATGGAATGCACAGGAATGAGATCAAATACATCTGTGGAAAAAGGCGATGGATAAGTTCTGTATCTTCAGCCAAAACAAGGCCAGGAGCTGACTGGAACAGACCATCAATTGCTCATATTTCGAGTTCAAGTTGATGTTGAAGACAACTAAAACAAGTCCAGATGAGCCAAAATATGACCTTGATTAAATCCCACCTGAATTTAGAGACCATCTAAAGAATAGATTTGACACATTGAACACTAATGACTGAAAAACAGACAAACTGTGGGATGACATCAAGAACATTATACATGAAGAAAGCAAAAGATCATTAAAAAGACAGGAAAGGAAAAAAAAGACCAAAATGGGTTTCAGAAGAGACTCTGAAACTTGCTCTTGAATGGAGAGTAGCTAAAGCAAATGGAAGAAATGACAAGATACAGCAGCTGAACAGAAGATTTCAACAGGTAGCTCAAGCAGACAAAGCCAATTACTATAATGAAATATGCAAAGACCTGGAGTTAGAGAACTGAAAAGGAAGAACACACTCAGAATTTCTCAAGCTGAAAGAACTGAAGAAAAAATTCAAGCCTCAAGTTTCAATACTGCAAGATTTTATGGACAAAATATTCAGTGATGCAGGATACATCAAAAGAAGATGGAAGGAATACACAGAGTTACTGCAGCAAAAAGAACTGGTCAAAGTTCATCCATTTCAGGAGGTTGCATATCATCATGAACTATGGTATTAAAGGAAGAAGTCAAAGCTGCACTGAAGGAATTGGTGAAAAACATGGCTCTAGGAATTGACAGAATACCCATTGAGATGTTTCAATAAACAGATGCCATGCTGGAAGCACTTACTCAGCTATGCCAAGAAATTTGGAAAACAGTTACCTGGTCAACTGATTGGAAGAGATCTATATTTGTACCCATTCCAAAGAGAGGTGATCCCACAGAATGTGGAAATTATCAAACAATATCATTAATATCAACTGCAAGTAAAATGTTGCTGAAGATAATTAAAAAATGGTTGCAGCAGTATACTGACAGGGAATTTCTAGAAATGCAAGCTAGATTCAGAAGAGAACGTAGAATGAGTGACATCCTTGCTAATGTCAGATGGATTTTGGCTGAAAATAGAGATTACCAGAAAGATGTTTACTTGTGTTTTATTCACTATGCAAAAGCATTCAACTGTGTGGATGATAACAAATTATGAATAACATTGAGAAGAATAGGAATTCCAGAACACTTAATTGTGCTCATGAGGAACTTGTACATAGCCCAGGAGTCTGTCATTCAAACAGAACAAGGGGATACTGCATGGTTTAAAATCAGGAAGGGAGTGCATCAGGGCTGTCTCCTTTCATCATACTTATTCATTCTATACGCTGAGCAAATAATCCCAGAAGATGGACTATATGAAGAAGAATGCAGCATCAGGATTGGAGGAAGACTCATTAACAACCTGTGATAATGCAGACAACACAACCTTGCTTGCTGAAAGTGAAGATGACTTGAAGAACTTACTGATAACAGTTAAAGACTACAATCTGCAGTATGGATTATACCTCAGCATAAAGAAAACGAAAGTCCTCACAACTGGACCAGTAAACAGAATGATGATAAATGGAGAAATGATTGAAGCTGTCGAAGATTTCATATTACTTGGTTCCACAATCAACACCAATGGAAGCAGCAGTCAAGAAATCAGATGCATATTGCACTGGGCAGATCTGCTGCAAAAGACCTCTTTCAAGCGCTGAAGAGCAAAGATGTCTCTTTGAAGACTAAGGTGCACCTAACCCAAGCCATGGTATTTTCAATAGCCTCATATGCATGTGAAAGCTGGACAATGAATAAGAATGAAGAAGAGTTGATTTGAGTTATGGCAAAGAGTACTGAAAGTATCCTAGACTGCCAGAAGAACCAACAAATCTGTCCTGGAGGAAGTGCAGCCAAAATGCTTCTTGGAAGTGAGAATGGCCAGACTTCATCTCACCTACTTTGATCATATTGTCAGAAGGGACCATTCCCTGAAAATGGTAATTGCTTGGTAAAGTGGAGGGTCAGTGAAAAAGGGGAAGACCCTTAAGGAGGTGACTTGACACAGTGCTTGTGATAATGGGCTCAAGTATAGCAAGTATTGTGAGGTTGGAGCAGAACTGGGCATTGTTTCCATTCTGTTGTACATAGGGTTCTTATGAGTCAGAGTTGACTCAGTGGCACCTAACAACAACTGCACAAAAACATTGTTCTAAATCCTACTTTGATGAGTAGCCACTGAGGTCTTAATAGCCTACAAGCTGCCATCTAGATGTAACAATGGATCTCTCCTTGTCCAGAGCAAAGAAGAATGAAGAAAACCAAAGACACATGGAAACAATTAGTCCAAGAGACTTGTGGACCATGCGATCTCAGCCTGTACGACCATGAGACCAGAATAAATAGATGGTGCCTGGCTACCACTGTCAACCACTTGGAAAGGGATCTGTGCAGGGGATCCTGGATAGCATAGGAGAACAATGTGGAACAAAACTCAATCATAAAAAAGACCTGGTTTACTGGTCTGATAGAGCCTGGTGAGACCTCCAAGATGGTGGCTCCTAATTACCTTTCAGGCCTTGAATTGAACTCACTCCCATGGCTTCCAGCCAAATAATAGATAGGCATATAGGGTGAACATTTACATCAAGTAGATACACTTCTTAGAACAGTCAATCATGTGAGAAAAGAAGGACAGTACTTGTACAAGGAGATACTGCAGGGATCAGCAATACATAGGAAAGAAGGACACAGGGAAGAGAACTACAAGTAGGAAGTGGGAAGAAGAAAGCACTTACATTGTGTGGAATTACATTAAATGTCATGAAAAAAATGTGTATTAACTGTTGTGTGGAAAATGAACTTGCTCTGTAAACTTTCACCGAAATCACAATAAATTTAAAAAAAAAAAAACAACTATGAAAACTGTTACATTTTTGTTGTTTATTGTCTAGATCTTAAGAGTAATATTTCACTAATTTGATATTTTGTCATTATGGCATAATATATACCCATGAATCAAATTACCTTTATTTCTAAAATATCATGGTTTATATGTAAAAAAAAAATTACTTGAAATCATAAAACTTATACAATTTTAATTTAGTAATTCTATGTATTTTACTAGATACTTAGGTTAAATATACAAAATAGTTAGTTTTATTAATTTGTACTTACAAAATAAATTGACATTGATTTGTTCTAGTAACATTCTTTTTTTTCTTCCCTTCTACAGGCTGAAGAAAAGGCTCATTCAGAGGTAAAAAGTTTTGTAGTGTTTTTCTTCCTAGTAGTTAAATTTCTTTAAAAAAATTATTTATTTATTTTTTTATTGATGTTGAAAATACACTCAGCAAAACGTACAGCAGTTCAACTATTTCTGTATGTACTACCGTGTAGCATTTTTGTATTTAACTGTTTTCATTTACATTTATGGTAAAATTAGTATTATCACCACTAGGGGGCTCTATGACACAATAGCATAACTGCAGGACAACTAATGGAAGTGACCCAGCAAGTTGAAAAGTGGTTTTGGTGGCAAAGTGCCTAAGGCATTTAACTGCTAACCAGAACGCTGGCGGTTCAAACCCACCAGCCACTGCTTGGAAGGAAGGTTGGGCAATCTACTTCTGTAGTGATACTGCCTCGACAACCCAAGGAGGGATCACTATGAGTCAGATCCGACTCCACAGCAGTGAGTTTGGTTTTTTGATATTTCCTCCTAAAAGAAAATGAAAGAATAACTTACCTCTCACGTTTTTGATTGGAGGCTTAACTCCAACCAAAACCAAATCCACTACCATCAGATTCTGACTCACAGCAATCCTATGAGACAGGGTACAACTGCCCCAGGGGGTCCTGAGGCTGTAAATCTTTACAGAAGCTGACGACCACATCTTTCTCCTGCGAAGTGGCTGCTTGGGCTAGAACCACTGACCTTTCGGTTGGCAGCTGATTGCTTTAACCACTGCACCCCCTTAACTCAGCACCTAATAAAATGTCTTTAATAATAGGCACTCATTGAATCTTTGATGAATGAATGTTTGTGAGACGATTTTTGTAGGATGAATGGAATTGTTGAATTTTAAATTCTAGGCACCTATAACATAAGACACTAACATCCCAGCTCATCTATTCTGTGCCAAGACCTCATTGCTTCTAATGAGTTATTTTAGAAATCTAGTGTGGTATCTTATTCTAATCCCACGTTTCACAAAAACACACTCTGTTGCAAACATGTACAAATCAAATTACAGCATGTAGAGAGTATTCTATTTCTCTCCCTGTGTGGAGAGATGCCACAGCCAAGGAGAGAAAGAGGATTTTAATTAGGACTTTATTCAAGATGAGATAATGATTATGTGATTGGCTTACACTGTGGAACCAGACCACAGAGAAAATA